ATACATCGAGTGGTGCACTGGAAAGGAGTCAGGTATACGAACGCCGATGCTTTGTCCAGACTCGCAGCCCCTGAGAAGTGCGCTTGCAGCGACGGATCCGCGCACTGTAGACCGCCGGCCGTGGCGCAACCCGAGATCGTGGCGCCGGTTTCCACCCGGGACACGGACCTGCTGGGGCCGACGGTATCACTGGATAGCGACTTGGGGCTCAACATGTGGGAATGGAGGAAACAGCAGCAGGCAGACGCATCTTTGGCACCGTTTTGCCGGCTGGCAGAGACGGCACGTGCTGACGATCTCCCCACGTCAGGGAAGTTTATCCTCATGTGGGAGGGGTTGTTGATGCGCTGGGACACGACGGTGAACCGTAAAGTTCTGGTGGTGCCCTCTTCCCTGCGGGGTCAGCTTTGCTCCGATGTTCATGTCCGACAGTTGCTCCATCTAGGTAGCCGTAAGACCTAGTCTGTGCTACGCCTACGCTAATTTTGGCTGGGCATGTCCGCCGATATCCGCCGTCGGGTATCGGCGTGCGTGGACTGTGCGCGCAGGAAGCCCCCGCCGGTCGTGCAAACCACTCCCCTGCAGTCAATTAAAGTTTCCCGGGTAAACGAGCTCGTGGGCCTCGATATCTTGGGCCCCTTCCCCGCCACCCCTCGAGGGTGTACAGTGAGGGAAAAAAGTATTGATTCCCTGCTGATTTTGTACGTTTGCCCACTGACAAAGAAATTATCAGTCTATAATTTTAATGGTAGATTTATTTGAACAATGAGAGACAGAATAACAACAAAAAAATCCAGAAAAACGCATGTCAAAAATGTTCTAAATTGATTTGCATTTTAATGAGGGAAATAAGTATTTGATCCCTCTGCAAAACATGACTTAGTACTTGGTGCCAAAACCCTTGTTGGCAATCACAGAGGTCAGACGTTTCTTGTAGTTGGCCACCAGGTTTGCACACATATCAGGAGGGATTTTGTCCCACTCCTCTTTGCAGATCTTCTCCAAGTCATTAAGGTTTCGAGGCTGACGTTTGGCAACTCGAACCTTCAGCTCCCTCCACAGATTTTCTATGGGATTAAGGTCTGGAGACTGGCTAGGCCACTCCAGGACCTTAATGTGGTTCTTCTTGAGCCACTCCTTTGTTGCCTTGGCCGTGTGTTTTGGGTCATTGTCATGCTGGAATACCCATCCATGACCCATTTTCAATGTCCTGGCTGAGGGAAGGAGGTTCTCACCCAAGATTTGATGGTACATGGCCCCGTCCATCGTCCCTATGATGCGGTGAAGTTGTCCTGTCCCCTTAGCAGAAAAACACCCCCAAAGCATAATGTTTCCACCTCCATGTTTGACGGTGGGGATGGTGTTCTTGGGGTCATAGGCAGCATTCCTCCTCCTCCAAACACGGCGAGTTGAGTTGATGCCAAAGAGCTCCATTTTGGTCTCATCTGACCACAACACTTTCACCCAGTTGTCCTCTGAATCATTCAGATGTTCATTGGCAAATTTCAGACGGGCGTGTATATGTGCTTTCTTGAGCAGGGGGACCTTGTGGGCGCTGCAGGATTTCAGTCCTTCACGGCGTAGTGTGGTACCAACTGTTTTCTTGGTGAATATGGTCCCAGCTGCCTTGAGATCATTGACAAGATCCTCCCGTGTAGTTCTGGGCTGATTCCTCACCGTTCTCCTGATCATTGCAACTCTACGAGGTGAGATCTTGCATGGAGCCCCAGGCCGAGCGAGATTGACAGTTATTTTGTGTTTCTTCCATTTGCGAATAATTGCACCAAATGTTGTCACCTTCTCACCAAGCTGCTTGGCGATGGTCTTGTAGCCCATTCCAGCCTTGTGTAGGTCTACAATCTTGTCCCTGACATCCTTTGAGAGCTCTTTGGTCTTGGCCATGGTGGAGAGTTTGGAATCTAATTGATTGATTGCTTCTGTGAACAGGTGTCTTTTATACAGGTAACAAGCTGAGATTAGGAGCACTCCCTTTAAGAGTGTGCTCCTAATCTCAGCTCGTTACCTGTATTAAAGACACCTTGGAGCCAGAAATCTTTCTGATTGAGAGGGGGTCAAATACTTATTTCCCTCATTAAAATGCAAATCAATTTATAACATTTTTGACATGCTTTTTCTGGATTTTTTTGTTATTCTGTCTCTCACTGTTCAAATAAACCTACCATTAAAATAATAGACTGATACTTTTTTTGTCAGTGGGCAAACGTACAAAATCAGCAGGGGATCAAATACTTTTTCCCTCATTGTAGATACCTACTGGTGGGGATGGAGTACTTTACGCGATGGCCCTTTTGCCTGCCAGTTGCCCGACCAGACGGCGGCGTCCATAACTGACGCCTTTGTAAATGGCTATGTCGCTGACAAGGGAGCTCCAGAGCGGCTGCTGACGGACCAGGGCAGGAACTTTTCATCAAAACTGTGGCAGGAGGTGTTTGACATGCTCGGTGTCAAATAGGTGCGGACGTCCCCTTACCACCCACAAACGGACGGGATGTTAGAACGCTTTAACCGCACCATCTCGGGGATGCTGTGTCACTTGGTCAATGACCAGCAAACGAACTGGGATTTACACATCCCTGTGGTTTTGACGGCCTATCGCTCGGCTCCACATGCATCAACGGGATATTCACCATTTTTCTTGATGTATGGATGCGAGCCGAGCCCTCTAATTGAGGCACAGTTGCGCCCTGTGCCGTCGCGAGCGAGAGATTGGCCAGTCGCGTTCCGCCACTCGCTCAAGTATTTGTGCGATGCTCGCGAGGTGGCCTCGGCAGCATCCACGTCGGCGCAAGCTGTGAATGAACGCTTGCGGGCTAAGCCACCAGTTGCAGATCCCTTTGCAGTGGGTGACCTCCCCGTGGCTGCACTGCCCGCAGGTACCGTTGCGGACGTCAGCGAAGCTGCACCAGCCCTGGCAGGGCCCGGTCACAGTGCTGCAGGTATTGTGACCTCAGTGTGTTTACATTCAGTTGGGAAAGTGTAGGTGGTACGTTCACCCTTCGAGGCTCAAACGTTACGTCGCGGCCGAGCCGCCCCTAACAGCATCATCACCTTCACCACCTTCATCGTCAGTTCGGCCGGGTGGGAAAAGGTTGTCACACTCACGGCCTACTACGCGACCGACTGACAATGCAGACACTATCCATCCTGCGGGACTACAGGTGACCGGAATGCCAGCACGGGTCCCGTCGCCATCAGTGGCTGAAGACACAGCTGCAGCAGAGGACTTGGCCACAGGATGGGGGCCCGTGACCCGCTCACGTTCACGCCGCCTCGTCGCAGCCGTGTACATGGACATTTTTGCAACTCTGTTGTGTTCGGTCGAAGGATCGGATCGTGGGGGAGGTCGGCGACAGAGGCGGCACTCGTGTTAACAAGGAGATGGAGGGCAAATTGTGTTGTGTTTCTTTTGCTTATTGCACTATTTTTTGTTGTTGTTGTTGGATTGCACGCGCCTGGCCGCAGTTGCCTTTGAACGGCCGAGGCATACATTTATTGAGCCGAGGATGGCTTGGTCTCAAGGGAAGGGGGGGGTGATGTAGGGGCTCTGCGAGCCACCCTCACGCACACGCACCACGCAAACACGAAGTCACCAGGACCAAGGCGTGCCAGACGGGAATGTGTATTGGAGATGGGTTAAAGGGCGGAATGTGCGGGACAGGAGTGAGGGGTCAAAGGGCAGTGACGTCACCAGGACCAAGGCGTGCCAGATGGGAATGTGTATTGGAGATGGGTTCAAGGGCGCTGTGGGACGTGTGTTCGAGGTTGGTTGTGGAACGAGGGTTGCTGTGCATTGGTGAATTAAAGAAGTGCATAAAACCATTCTCGACTCCTCTTCACAGGTGGAAATTGATAGCAGCTAAATACTCTTAATACGGAACTCTAAACGCTTGCTTGAACCCTTGAGATACTCTTGGGCTCTGTGGGTTGTGCACAACAGATAAGTAATTCCCTGGATTATAAACCCGAGTCGGACCTGGATTACTTTTATTCTAAATGTGGAGGGAAAAGTCGGAGGACTCGGAGAAAAATCCACATAGACATCAGAGTCGTGGTCGAACCCACGACCCCCTGTACACCAGGCGAGGTAGTTAACATTGCGCCACATCTCGTCGAACCCACGAGGGGCCCCCACCGGACTCTTGAGTGCCGAGCCTCAACATCCACGACCCCAGCGCCCTCTAGGGGAGAAACAAGAAGAGAGCGCTGCCACTCTTGCCCCCTTGGCATGGATCGACTCAGTCCCATGGGCGCCTCGTCACTGGGGCATGATTTACCACTAGGGAATATTATTTCATTATTTTGCTAGGTAAGGCCGACTGAGCTGTGTAGCTCTTTTTAAAAGCGACTTGGCAATCACAAATTATAGATCAACCAAATTTCTGATATCATCATTATAACCTGGAAATGTATAGCAGCAGCAAAATCCATAGAGACCCATATCGATCCATAGACACCCATATACATACTACACCCATAGAGATACCTAGACACCATAGAGACACACAGAAAAACAGAGATATATAGAGACCCCGAGAGAGGCCTAGAGACCTGTAGAGTCCCATAGAGACCCATATAGACCTATAGAGAAGCATATAGACCCATAGACTAAACTGATTTTTATTTTACCAGGAACGGCTCCACTGAGCTACGTAGTTCTTTTTTCAGAAGCGACCTGGCTATTACAAATTATAGCACAACAAAGTTGCTGATTGTAACGTGGAATTTGATACCAGCCAAATACTCTAATCGCGCGACGTTGATCCTAAATGTGGAGGCATAAACAGGGGGACCCGGAAAAAATCGATACCACTACAGAGAGAACAAACTCCAAATATACAGGAGTCAGGATCAGGATCGAACCCCGACCTGCTGTATACCAGGCGATGCTGTCAACATCTCCTAGCCACCACGGCGCCCACACGCATGCACGGAGTCGCCCATGGCTCAGGGAGCCAACCGTGGTCCCCGCGTCTCCGCAGGAGTCGGTGGCCGGGATCAGGGGTCGCATCACGGGCAAGTTCGCCCGCCTAAAGAAGGCTCTGGACGAGGACGAGAGGGAGGCTCTACGTCGCTTGGCCGTGAAGGAGCGAGAGCTGCTGTCCCGGATTGATGAGGACATCGCTCGTCACAAGCGAGAGATCGGCGAGCTCCAGCCGGCGGCCACTCGCCTGCGCACTCTGCAGCACGAGAGGGACTCGCTCGCCTTCCTGCAGGTGGGGCGCGCCTCTGTGGAGACGCCGTTTGGGAGTCCAGAACAACAGAGCGGGCAGTGGCAGAGGGGATTTGTGGTCCAGGGGTAGAGACTTCACTCATGATCTCTCTCTCTCTTCCACAGGGGCACTTGGAGGTGACGCGCAGGTACAGATCCTTAACGTCTCGCGGTCAAACACTCACAACACAGGATGTGTGTGTTAGACACACGGGATGTGTGTGTTAGACACACGGGCTGTGTGTGATAGACACACAGGCTGTGTTTTAGACACAGGGTGTGTTTGTGTGTGTGTTAGACATGCAGGCTGTCTGTGAGACACTGACTGTGTGAGATACTGGCTGTGTGTGAGACACTGGCTGTGTGTGAGACACGGGCTGTGTGTGAGACACGTACTGTGTGTGCTATGGATGCTGAGTGTTCCGATGCTGTGGTTAAACGAGGCTGTGTGTTATGCTGTTGGTGGTTGTCCCAGGAGAGAGATCCCAAAGGAATCTGCACCCCCACCTCCCACTTCATTGGATGTCACCAAGATCCTCTCCCTTGAAAGGGTCGCGAACAGACTCCTGCCTTTCGCTTGTGAGTTCCTCAGTCTTGCACCCGCGTGTCCCACTCTGTTGCACTGCACTTCTGTGCTCCCCATCTTCATCAACATTTTATTGTATTTTACCAGGGAAGGAACCCTCTGAACCATGTCGCTTTTTTTCATAAGCGACCTATCACAATGACAGCTCTACGAATTGGCTCATAACGTGGATATTTATAGTTGCAGCTAATCCTCTGAATGCAAATTGATTCTAATTGTGGAGGGAAAAACGCGAGGAGCCAGGGAGAAATCTACGCAACCACGGGGAGATAGACGCAGACTCTGAAAGAGAGCGACATGGATCAGTGGGCCCTACCTGGTGAAATAAAATTAGTTTAACAGCTTCAATATTTTACTAAACCCTACTGCTGGATACTGGGGCAAGTGCTGTCCGCGATCAGCAGCACCTGTGAAGGCCGGCACGGCACACGAGGGGGTTGGTGACCAGCACCACGCCCGGCCGCCTTTGTCTCCCTCGTGCCGAATGTTCACACATCACACCAGCAAAAGGCAGTGTAGCGTGAACCATTGTTGTACTGTACCTCTACGCTGCTCTGTTCACGATCTCCACCATCGCCAATGCGTACCGACGAGAGCGGTGAAGTATGGTCAGATAACGCCCCCCCCCCCCACAGGACGCGCACAGCGTGGGGAGGCGCTCATCCAGCAGCGGAGTGACACACAATGTCTGTGTGTAGATGTGAGGGTGTGCGAAGCTGCGACACAGAATGTCTGTTTGTGGATGTGAGAGTGTGCGAGGCTGTGACACACAATGTCTGTGTGTGGGTGTGAGAGTTTGCGAGGCTGTGACACACAATGTCTGTGTGTGGATGTGAGAGTGTGCGAGGCTGTGACACACAATGTGTGTGTGTGGATGTGAGAGTGTGCGAGGCTGTGACACACAATGTCTGTGTGTGGGTGTGAGAGTGTGCGAGGCTGTGACACACAATGTCTGTGTGTGGATGTGAGAGTGTGCGAGGCTGTGACACACAATGTCTATGCGTGGATGTGATAGTGTGCGAGGCTGTGACACACAATGTCTGTGTGGGGGTTTGAGAGTTTGCGAGGCTCTGGTGGCTGTGGTACAGGCGTCGTGTTTGTAGAGAGACGCTGTGAGAGTGGCGTTCACATCGTGGTGCTGGCATCGTCACCACTGGTCACTACCACCGCACGCACACCCACGGTCATATGAGTGTGGTATTTTTAAAAATTATTATTTACTAATTATTCACTATTGTGAACACAATTACTAACGAATATGAGTGTCTACACTAATACTAACGAATATTAGTATATGTGCACTAATTCAAACGAATATTAGTAAAGGCAGACTAATTCTAACGAAAATTAGTATAACAACAACCGCCATTCGCCACTAAGTAGCGGTGACGTCACCACAATGCTTGTGCCAGGCTATGTGTACCTTGAGGCAACATGAAGTGTCGAACGCTCGCTGGCAGGAGGTCACGCGGCAGACACAGAAGCCACAGGTCGACTGACTGAGATGACTGGCTGATGTACCACCTGTGCCTCCTACTGTGCACAACTTAATTCTAGATTTGAAGTTTTCGTGACTGCAAGGATCCATACTCTTTGGTTTTTTCGGTAAAGTCACGTAGGTGAAAATAAAATAAAATGAAAAAAACTAAATTAAATCACGAAGTTTCGGAGGCAACACAAGCTTCCGTCTTCAGGTGCAACTGATACAGCAAAATTACTGTAGTGAGTAGAGAGAGCTATTAGAGACACGCGATTATATAGGGTAAGAAGGAGGGAGGAGTCAGGGAGGACCGCGGGGTAGGGGGGCGCCGTGTGGAGTCGGGGGGGGGGGGATGAGCTGAGTTAAGCTGATTAATAACATCATTTTTATGATGCAGGGGATGGCTGGCGTGTGAACACGGGGGCGGAAGTTAAGCTGATTAATAGGAAAGCTGAGTTAAGCCGATTAATTACATCATTTTTTATGATGCAGGGGAGGGTGAGCATTGGGGTACGTGGATTAGAGAGGCTCCTGGGCCTAATGCTCATTTACCACGGATGGGTGGGGGGAGAGTGGGATGGGGGGACAATTTTACATGATTGAAACACTGTACATCTAATTTCCAAGTGATGGTAGTGTGTAAGGCTGGGAGTAAAAGACTGGAGATATGGATATGAATATAAACTCTAAGGCAGCTAAAGTTTAACTTGGTTAATGACATCCTTCCAATTATTGCTCAACTTGAATCCATCCTCTCGGTTGAAGTTATGTCTATATTTGTATATCTGGATGGCTTCATGGACAAATCTTTGGTAGTATCCAGATGGCTTGCAGAGTACTTTGGTATCGGTTAAAACAATATCATGAGAACCCACCGTGTTGTAACAATGGTCAGCCACGGCAGAATAATTCGTCCTACCGTGTTTCAAATTTGACTTGTGCTCGCGAATGCGGTCAGATACATGTCGTTTCGTTTCCCCGATATAACAATTACCACAAATGCAACTCAGTTTGTAGACACAAGGGTACTGTAAGTCAGGAATGACATCCTTTACGGATGGGATCAGATCTCGGATCTTGTTTACTGTACTGAATCGGACCTGGATCGTGTGTTTGTCCAGAATTTTGGAAATATTTTTGGTGACGCCTGCTATGTATCGCCACGTAATGATTTTGATCGGAGTCTCAGGGGGTTGTTTCTCCACGGTGGGAGAAACAGCTTGGTGGATAGCACGGTTCGAGTATCCGTTCATCTTAAGAGCCATGTGTACATGTGTTGAGGAGTGGAGTGCTGACGTCAGGTCACACTCGCCTCGGGGGGAATGCCGTCAAGGAAAAGTGACGTCATGCCCCCCGGGGTATTTGAGGGGAGACCCGTGACGTAGACGGGGTCTTCGCGGTGATCCAAGAGAGTGAGTGTTAGGGGAGTAGGGGGCTCCGGGATAGAGGGTTTGAGAGCCAGGCTAAAGGGCTGCTAAACCCGGCTGGCCGAGTTGGATGAACCCACGGTCAGTGCTGTGGGAAGGGCCTGATAGCCTGGTAGGGTGTAGGGAACTCCCAGTACCCTTCCCCTGGGGAGATTAGTTAATAACTCTGTGTTAACCCCTTCCCCCGAGTTAGGCGCAAGCCCTTAAATAAAGAGTTGGGGGTCAGCCCCTACACGACTGGCTTCAGCGTCCTTCTTACCACACAACACATGTTCTAATTCACTGGCCAGGTGGTGTTGGTCAGAGATGCAGTGGGCCCTATGGTGTAGTGTTTTGATTAAGGAATTCTTTTGTGCCGGATGGTGGTGAGAATCAGGCTTCAGATAGGAATCTGTGTGGGTGGCCTTCCTGTAGACAGAATGTCCCAAATAGCCATTGGACCTCCTCGCAAACAGAACATCCAAGAATGGTAGCTTGCCATCCTTCTCCACTTCCATGGTGAATTTGATGGATGGATGTATGGAGTTAATGTGGTCGAGAAATTGGTTCAATGCTGGTAGGCCATGTGGCCAAATGACGAAAGTGTCATCCACATATATTTTCCACAGGGAAGGACGCAGGGTGGATGTCTGGATGGCGTCTGTTTCAAATTTCTCCATGAAAACATTGGCTATCACTGGTGACAAGGGGGAACCCATAGGGGTACCCTCATTTTGTTTGTAGAAGCTACCATTCCAGGTGAAGTACGTGTTGGTGAGGCAGTGCCTAACCAGTGCAGGGACATCAGGGTTCAGTCCATGTTGCACTAAGTCTTCAATTATTGCTATGGTGTCAGGCACAGGAACCTTGGTGAATAGAGAGACCACATCAAAGCTGACGAGGACATCATCAGGGGACAGTGAAATGTCCTTGATTAGAGAGACCAAGTGAGTTGAATTAAGTACTGCTGAAGTGGTCTTGCCAGTTAAGGGAAGCAGAGTATCCGATAGAAAACGGGCTAGTATGTAGGTAGGTGAGTTGATCGTGGACATGATGGGCCGTAGTGGGGTACCTTTATGGATCTTGGGAAGACTATAAAATCTGGGTGGTCTAGCAGCCGAGGGTTTTAGGGAGAGCCGTTTGACTGGTTCGAATAGGTAAGTCGAACTGGCAATGATCTTGTTGGTTTCAGTAGTTAGGCTGTTAGTCGGATCTCTATTGATTTTGGAGTAGCTGCCAGGTCCCTGCATTTTGTTGACAGTGGCATTGCCCTTGTCGGCCGAGAGGATGACTATGTCATACCTCTTTTTCAAATTTGCGAGTTCAGAGCGCTCGTTTTAGCAGATGTTGCTAATGGGTTTCCTAGCATTTTTTAAAATAGTGGCAATTTAACCAAGTTAAACTTTAGCTGCCTTATAGTTTATATTCATATCCATATCTCCAGTCTTTTACTCCCAGCCTTACACACTACAATCACGAGGAAATTTGACGTACAGTGTTTCAATCGTGTAAAATTGACCCCCCCCCCACTCACCCCCGCCCCCACCCCATCCATGGTACATGAGCATTAGGCCCATGTGCCTCTCTAATCCCCCTACCCCAATACTCACCCTCCCCTGCATCATAAAAAAGGATGTTATTAATCAGCTTAACTCAGCTTATCCCCCCACTCCACACGGCGCCCCCCTACCCCGCGGTCCTCCCTGACTCCTCCCTCCTTACCCTTAATAATCGCGTGTCTCTAATAGCTCTCTCCACTCACTACAGTAAATTTGCTGTATCAGTTCCACCTGAAGACGGAAGCTTGTGTTGCCTCTGAAACGTCGTGATTTAATTTAGTTGTTTTCATTTCTTTTTTATTTTCACCAACGTGACTTTACTGAAAAAACCAAAGAGTGTGCACAACTTGCTCTGCTGTAGCCACCCGGCGCTCCGGTCGTTGTTGTGAGCGTCGCTCCTCCGCCCTCCGTTGTTGTTGGAGGGCGACTGTCTCCAACTGCCCAGTAGCGTCCTTCACGAGCCACCTCCACAGAGTCCGATCTTGACACCGCTGGTACCAGTCATCGGCAAGTCCACTCAGCTCCACATCCTCCTGTACCATATCACT